ATCCAAATGCAGGGGGAGTGACATTCTGAACCGGACATGCTCGAAGTGTGGCTTAGTCTACCCACCGCCTCCCCCAGGAATGCTGTGTCGCCCTTTAGGTAACCACGAGAAATGGTGTCGTGGGGATGCTGCAGCGAAAGCAAAGGCCCAGGCCGTCGCGGTCGCGGCGGCGGCGGCACCGGCGCCGCCCCCGCCCCCCGGGCCAGGTGCAGCCAAAGCGAAGGCGAAAACCAAGCCGAAACCGAAACCGCACGTGGGGGCCAAGGGAAAGGCGGGCCCGCCGGTCAAGGCCGCCCCGGCCAAGGCTGTTACGGCCAGGGTTGCAGGTAAGGCGCGCGGGGCGAACGCCCAGGCCAAGGCGGCGATTCGTCTCGCTGGTATTGCCCGGAGACGCCCGGCGGGAGCCGGATAATCAGATCTTGTTTCGTGTAGGAAATAGCGGTCTAGGGGGGTGGGAGGGCGGGTGGGGGGTGGCGGGCGGTCATAGGACCTTACCACAGTGTGCTTGCTATTTGGGCTTTCACAACCTGCAGCTGCCGGCAGCGCCCACGAGGCGATCTGTCACGAGATGATGCCGGGCACGTCCCGATGCATCGGGGGCGGCCAGGACAGGGCTTGCCCTGTTCATTGTTGTGCTAAAGTGAGTCACGAACTCACTTCCGGCCGCCCCCAGGCCCCACTGCAGGGGGGCAGGTGTATAGGTCCAATGGCCGCCGGCCGCCTCCTCGCCTTGCCCCCCCTTGCTGTCGCTCGGCTGCGTTTCTTCCCCCCTCGACTCCCTCGTGTTGTTGCCGGCGTGCGTTTGCTTGCCTTTTTCAGTCTTACTCCCTTTGACGTGACGTATACTGTTTCTTGTGCGCAGCTAGGAAAAAAAAAACAGGAGGAAGGCCCCCCCCCTCCCCCTCCCCTCCCCCCGCCCCCGCTCGAGCCATGATGTGTGCAGTCACGTGAATTGTTGCTCGCCGCCCCGACCAGCTGCTCAAGGCCCCCGCCCGGCGGAACCGGCTCTCGCCGGAAGGGTCATGACCGCCCTCCTCCTGCGGTGCCCCTGGTTCGGCGGCGCGGCCGTGGTCGTCGTCGTTGTCGTCGTCGTGGTCGTCGTCGTCGTCGTGGGTGTTGTCGTGGTCGTCGTCGTCGTCGTCTTCGTCGTGGTTGTCTGGGCGGCGGGGTCGGCCGGGGGCGGGCGCGGGCGGGGGTGGGTGCCCGTCCGGCGGCAGCCTCTCTCCCTGCCTGATCGCGTGTCGGTGAGGGGTGTGACAGAGAAATGGCAGCTGAGCGCCGCGCAGCCACGGAGCGCCGCATTGCGGCGTTGGAGGAGGGTCAGAGCCGTCACACCGAGCAGATCTTCCGCCTTCGGAACGAGGTCAGCCGAGTGCTGAAAAGCACGAGTGTGGTGCTAGAGGGATTCCCCTCGGTGGACTCGGTGTGGGAGGCGCACGGGAACCAGGGAGAGTACCGTGAGTTGCGCAACCTGACGCCGGAGGCTGTTGGACGGGACCTGGGGGCTCACCCGGGGCTGAGCTGGCCCTTGCCGGACCGAGCGTCGGACCAGCCCGGGTCCACCCAGCAGGCGGTTCGCTTCCTCTGCGAGGAATTGAGCAAGCCAGGGGTGCTTCAGAAGGTCATGGAGCAGTATCGGTGGGACTACGACCGCGGCACCAAGGTGCGGATTCCGAACGTGTTCAAACTGAAGGTTAAGTTCGGTGCCTCCTCGCTGGGCATGGAACAGATAATTGACGGCTTAGACCACCCGTTGCGCCGCGCTTCGGGTCTCTCCGTCGCCGGCCAGCCCACGCTTCAGGAAGGGGCCGCCCAGCCGCCGAGGCGGCTCCTCTACAACGAGAGGACCGAGGAAGAGCGCCAGTGGAAGGGCGGCGGCAAGGGGCAGGCCCAGGGGCAGGCCAAAGGCGCAAAGGGCGGCAAGGGCGGCAAGGGAACCCAGGGGGTGCTTCAGGGCCGAGGTGGCGGCGGCGGCAAAGGCAAGGGCAAGGGCAAGAAGGGGAAGAAAGGCAGGGCGGCCGCCAAGGCAGCTGCGGCACCTGGGGGGGCAGCCCCGGCGGCGGGCGCAGCCCCGGCGGCGGGCGTAGCGCCCGGGGCAGCGGGCGGAGCGGGCGCGGGCGGGGCGGGTGGAGCAGGCGGCGGGGCCGCCGCGGCCGGCAACGCCGGCGACGCGATGGCTGACTAAGGGGTCACCCCACAGGCCCGTCCCCGGATACAGGGCCCGACGGGGGCGGGTAGTCGAGCCATGGGCCGTGCATGGAGCCAGGAACTCGCAGGACAGATTGTGCTTTCTTGTTCTTGTTGTGCCCACCCTTGTGTGATCTGCACGGAGTCTCCTATTGTTAGGTGTGAGCGAGTGTGCGTGAGTGTGGGCATGGAAGGGCGGGTGGGTGGTGGGAGGACGGAGGAATGGTGGTGTTGTCCCATTCTGTGCACATCCCAATTGCGAGGACGGGAGAGCCCTCTGGAAGGGTCCTCTGGGCCAGTAGTGGCGGTGCTGGACCCTCGACTGCTCTCCCCCCGCTCTGCCACCCAGTCCGCAGGGGCACCCCCCTTCCAATCACCATTGGGCTTCCCGACTCTGTCCAGGTTCCGCCCCGATCCCCCTGCCCTTTTCCCCTCTGCCCTTCTCCCTTCCCCCCCCTCCCCCTCTTTCCCCCCCCTCCCTCCCTCCCTTTCTTCCCCCCTCTTCTCTCTCCCCTCTCCCTGCCCCTCTTCTCCGCCCCCCTCCCTCCCCCCTTCCTCCGAGCCCAGGTGCTTTCCGGACGGCGCCCTATCCTCGCCTTCCGTCGTCGTCCTCTCCTCCCACCCCCCATCAGGATTTTTTAAAGGTCGACCGGCCGTCCCTGGGCCACATCGTGGCCGCGCTCAGGGACACGGTGACGGTGACGGTGACGGAGGCAGGCAACAACTCCCCTGCGCGGGAACCCGCACTGTCGCCGACCCCTCCGCCCCCCCCCCGCGGTGCCGGGGGCACCCGCTGCCTCGACGAGCCAGGCTCGGAAGCGGCGGAGCGGCCAGTCCGCGAACTGCGGCAGGAAGTCGCCCGCGCGGGCGCCGGGCGTGAGGACCCACGCCGAGATCAGCGCGGCCCACAGCTCGGGCCCGTCGTCGGCCGCTTCGGCTGCCGCGCCGACGGCCGCAGCAGCGGTTGCCGCGGTCACCTCCCCCGCAGGCTGCGCGGCGCCCCCCCTCGCCGACGAGCTGCGCTCCAGGCGACTCACGAGCGGGGGGCGCCAAAGCCAGCACCCCAGCAGCAGCGTCGCCAGGCACGGCGGCGTGTGCACCAGCCGAGGGCGCAGGGCGAGACACGGGAGTGTCCGCCCAGGCGTCGTCCTCAAGGCTGCTGCCGCCGTCGTCGCCGTCCATGCCGCTGCCGTCGCGGCCGAGGTCGGGCGCGGTGGGCCCCACCTGCACGCCAGCGCCGCGGCGCCTGCGAGCCCGCCGCCGACGCCGCCGAGGCCGAGGGCGCGCAGGCGAAGCGGCGTCCGCGGGAGCAGCAGGTGGCCCGTCCGCTCGCCCCTCGGCGCGGGCAGTCCGAGACCGAGACTCGGCCTCGAGCAAGCACTGCCGCCGCTGTGCGGCAAAGGCCCTCCGTGGCTCGAAGCAGCCGAGCGGCCGCCGAGCCACGGGCCGGGCCCGCCGCGGCGTGCACCGCCAGCGAGGCCCCGCGGGCCGCCGCGAGCGCAGCGCGAGCATCGGGCGCCGCCGACGTCGGAGGCCTGCGGCGAGCCGCCCGACAGCGGCCCTGCGGCGGCGGGCTCGACGCGGCAGCGGCTCCTCCTCCTCTCTCCTCTCTTCCTCGTCGTCGTCGTCCTCCACTTCCTCCCTTGCCATCCCTCATACTCGTCCTCTTGCTTCTCACCCTCGCCCTTCCTCCATCTCCTCCCCATTTACTCCTCCCTCCTCCCTCCTCGTCCTTCTCCCCCCGCTTCCTCATCCTGCTTCCTCCTCCTCCACCTCCTCCTCTTCCTTCCCCCCTTCTCGTCCCTCTCCTCTCTCATCCTTCTCCTGTGTCTCCTCCCCCTCCTCCCGTTGCTGCGCTCGCCCAATTACAAGCTCCCGGAGTGCCGGCGTAAATGTGTGAGGTCCTTGGGGTCCGCCACCGTGGCCACTGCGCCCAAGTTATATTAGCTCCCGTGCCCAACAATGACTGAGCCATATGGTACTGTCAGGGCTCCGACGGGGGACTGACTTCATTCCAGTCATTTCCCGAACTGCTATTCCATGCTCGAGGTTTGGTCCTGTGGCAATCGACGGAAACGGGGACGCGCGCGAGCGCCGTCCGTTTGCGAGTTAGGCACGCATTCCAACCCCAAGGCCAGGTGTGCCACAATTGTGCATTATGTTGCGGGAGGGAGGGTGGGAATAGGCAGGGCCCTCTGACGCGCTCGACCTGGCTGACCTGACTCCTACTCCCAATCTCTCCTGCCTCCTCTTTCCTCCCTCCTCCCTCCTCTCCATCTCCATCTCCTCCTCCTCCTCCTCCTCCTCCTCCTCCTCCTCCTCCCCCTCCTCCTCCTCCTCCTCCTCCTCCTCCTCCTCCTCCTCCTGATCGAAGCCTGAAAACGAAATTATTGAACGTCTTCGGACCCCTTTAGGCCTCTGGTGGACCCCCCGGAAGTAGCTCCCGAGGGCACCGGGGATCGGCGTTCCCCTGCTCGAACTTTGAGGGTCGAGGGCCCGCTTCCAGGGACATAGGAACCTCACCCGTCCTCTCCACCCCTCCCTCCCCTTCTCCCCATCCACTCTCTTCCCCTCCCTCATCCCTTCCTCCCCTCCCTCCCCTCCTCCCCTCCCTTCTCCCTCCTCCTCTCTCCTGCCGCCCCCTCCTAGCCGACGGCTGTCCGAACTTGGCACCTGTCCGGAGGCCGGCGGAGCGCACGGCGTGGGCAGCGAGGCAAATCCAAGGAGAACAGCTACTCCGCAACCAGGCGCTATGGAGTCCTGCGCAGCCTTGCGCAGTGGAGCGGCCCGACTTCCGTGCCTAAACCTCACGCCTTGGCCTTGGCGCTGATCGGCCCCTGGGTGAGGTACATGAAGCAGCCGCTGGCCACTATCGCCGCCGATACGCAAGAAACTGGGGTTGCTGGGATGTGGGTGACGGCGGGTGCGGCAATGACCACCACGGGGCCACGGAGACACGTGGCGATGGACTTCATTACAGAGTCGGCGTACTTCAGAAGCCGCGAGATCAGCAGCCCGACGATAGACTGGAGGCCAACAGTCAGCCACGTGCTGCTGGAGAACCCAGCGACCAGAGAGCTGGAATACGCGTGCGGGTCGGTGACCAAAAGGATCATTGCCGTAAACAGCGTGCAGAATGCGTACAGGAGAATGTTCTGCACGTTTATGTCGAGGCCACTGTTTCGCTTTAACGCGTACTCGTTCGCAACACTCCCGACTGCGTTGCAGAGCGTCATTGCCACGACCCACATGAAGCGCCAGGAGAAAGTACCAGAGACAAATGTCGAGAAGAGTTTATTAAACACCAGCCCAATGAAGACCACGATTATGCCCACGAGGCGAGTGTTCCCCAGTGGCACTCTGAAGACACACCGCCACACACATGCAGTCCAGATGATTACGGTGTCGCGGAAGATCCCAAAGTCACCCATGTTGTTCTGCTGTATGGCATGATATACCAGAATGTTGTTCACCGAATAAATGCATGCGGGCATGGCCATACACCAAATGTCCGAGAACGAGACCTCAGCGGGACCAACCCGGGCTTCGCCCCCCCACATCGACACCGCGTACACTGCTGCAGACAGGCAGAGCTTGACCGCCTCAGTCACGAGCACCGCGCACGTCGGGTTGAACGCGTAGCCTGGCTTCTTCTGCACCGCGATCGACAGATCGATGGCAACGGAGAACAGGACGTAGACCGCGCAGACGACGAACGGCACGGCGGCCCCCGGCACGAGGTGGCCGAGCCTCGACCCCACCAGGAAGGCGCCCAGCCCCACGGCCAGGGTCACGAAGAGGGTGCCGATGGCCCGAAGGAGGGCACATCGTGGAGTCCACGGCGGCTCTCGCCCGCCCCCGCACGGCACGGCGGCCCCAGCTCCGCTGGAACTCTGCAGGGGCCCCGGGACACACCACCGAACAGACACGAATCCCAGGATCCCCGACATGTTCCCAGGCTTCTGTGCATTGTCGTCTTCCCCCCCCCCCCCCACGTTCAGATGTTCCCATCTTTTCCTGGGAGCCGACGAAGAATGGTGTCTGTGTGTTTTTCCCAACCATCCTGTGGTGTTGGGTCCTCGTTTTGAAGAGACGGTGCCCCGCGTCTCCTCTCCTTCCTTCCTTGCTCCTCCTCCGCCTCCTCCCTCCTCCCTCCTCCCACCCCTCACACGTTTCGTGGCCCCATGCTCCACCGAAGGCCCCAGTGGCCGCGTCCACATGGCGGCGCCGCACCCATTTCGGCACACCACTCACACGTTTCGTGGCCCCATAGGGAGCTCCACCGAAGGCCCCAGTGGCTGCGTTGGCATGGCGGCGCCGCACCCATTTCGGCACACCCCTCACACGTTTCGTGGCCCCATATGGAGCTCCACCGAAGGCCCCAGTGGCTGCGTTGGCATGGCGGCGCCGCACCCATTTCGGCACACCCCTCACACGCTTCGTGGCCCCATATGGAGCTCCACCGAAGGCCCCAGTGGCTGCGTTCGCATGGCGGCGCCGCACCCATTTCGGCACACCCCTCACACGTTTCGTGGCCCCATATGGAGCTCCACCGAAGGCCCAGTGGCTGCGTTGGCGCTTACCCATTTCGGCACACCCCTCACACGTTTCGTGGCCCATAGGGAGCTCCACCGAAGGCCCCAGTGGCTGCGTTCGCATGGCGGCGCGCACCCATTTCGGCACACCCCTCACACGTTTCGTGGCCCCATAGGGAGCTCCACCGAAGGCCCCAGTGGCTGCGTTGGCATGGCGGCGCCGCACCCATTTCGGCACACCCCTCACACGTTTCGTGGCCCCATAGGGAGCTCCACCGAAGGCCCCAGTGGCTGCGTTCGCATGGCGCGCACCACCCATTTCGGCACACCCCTCACACGTTTCGTGGCCCCATAGGGAGCTCCACCGAAGGCCCCAGTGCTACCGCCCTCATGCGTCCCGTACGCCCAGGACAGCGTTTCGTGGCACGCCTTTCGTGGCCCCATAGGGAGCCCCACCGGAAGCGGCACCCACAAAGCGTTATTCACAATTGCATATGGTTGGGTCCTTCGCCAGGATAATTGTCCCCTCCAGAAGCTCGGTCCCCTGAACCCTCCGCGTGGTCCGTCCTGCCCCGTCTGCCAGCGCGGGCACAGCCGCGGCGGCGAGACACCTCCGGCGAGGCCCAGAGGAGGAGACGACAGCGAAGACAGAGCGGGGAGGGCCGCCGGGGTGGCCTCCACTGGCCCTCCTCCGCGATGGGCGCCAGGCCCCGCGCACCCGGGGCTCCTTCCACCCTCGCGGCCGCGGGCGGCCCGGAGGCCCCGCCCAGCCTTCCCAGCGCCGCGTCGGACAGGCTGGGGGCCTGCTCGGCGGTCGCCGGCCAATCGGCCGCAGCGCCCAGCCCGGCATCGCGAGGCGCCTCGCGACGCGCTGGGCGCTCCAGGAAGGACACTCAGAAAACATCTATACACCACCCACCGAGTCAGCGCCCCTTTGACGGGGACTCCACTAACGGGTACGTTGGCCAGTGACCCAGCGAACCCAACCCTCCCAGACTTGGGCAACGCTGCAATGCCAGAAAGAGGCCCTGAAGTGGCAACTTTCGCCAACTCTCCAAAGTACCCGCTAGTGAGTACCCGTTACGGTGCCGCTGACCGTGCCTGGCCAGCGCCATCCCGGGCCCTGGCATGGTGCATGCGCCCTCCTGGCCTGGTCGGAGGGTCTACTCACCATCGCAACTAGTGCCCAGGCTGGCCCCGGCCAGGCTTGCTGGGTCGTATGTAGATGCCTCCCTCATGTGGGAAGGAGGCCAGGGGGGAGGTTATGCTGCATCCTCGGGGGACTCTGTCTGTCCCACCGCATCGCTGATCGCGTCGGATCCACGTCGAGCGCAAGTCGAATCAAAATCGAACTGTCGAATCCGCATTTGATAGCGTGTGGGATGCAAGGAACACACCGCGCTTCCAGAAAAGACAGCGTCCGCCAATCGTGCGGCGTACGGCGTAAGGGCAGGGCGGGAGCACAGAGTCGCAAGCTCGAGGCCCGTGGCTCGAGGGCCGAACTTTTGTTGGGCGCTCTGTGGCCCTCTTCGGGCCTCGGGGTCTCCGCGGAGGCCTGCGGAGGCCTCCGGGGACCTTGAGGGGCCTCCTCCATCTGTCGAACTCGTTCTGTCCTTTCGTCCTGCTCCTGCCTTGGACATGATTTTGGCGGAGGCCTCCAGGGACTTTGGGAGACCTTCTCAATCTGTCGAACTCGTTCTGTCCTTTCGTTCTGCTCCTGTCTGGACATGATTTTGGCGGAGGCCTCCAGGGACTTTGGGAGACCTCCTCAATCTGTCGAACTCGTTCTGCCTTGTCCCTTCGCCCCTGTCCTGGAGATGGTGTGTGGGGGCTTGGGCCCCCGAGCCCTCCCGGCCCCCGACGGGGCCACCCTCGACCGTCAGGCGCTCGCCCGGCAGCAGGGGCTCGTGGCCCCCTCCTTCCGATCCCTCGCCGGCGTGGCGGGCGCTCTTCGGCCACCCGCCGGCCCGCGCAGCCCGTCTCGCCCGGCAGCAGGGGCTTTGTGACCCCTCCTTCGCGGACAGCCGATCCTACCCGATCCTCGCCGGCGTGGCAAGCAGCCTTCGGCCACCCGCCGGGCCGCGCAGCCCGTGCCAGGGGTGGGAACTCATGGAGGAAGGCAGTCATCGAGCCAGCATGGATACCGCGGGTTGCCAGGGAGTCGTGGCAGAGGGGGTCCGGGGTCTCGCCAGGATCCGAGCACATAACAAACTTACCTGTTTAGGGGTTTCCTGGAATCCTTCCACCCAAGGGGCTGGGATTGGCGCTCCCGACAATGCACACCCAAGGCCTTGCCCACCAAACAACACTCCTCATCCAACACTCCCTTCGCATTCACAAATGTAGACGCTTCCAGGCGGGAATATGTGACCACATGATCCCATTCGGTGAGGATCATCACGTCGCGACAAGAACACTGCTGGAGCCTTCGGCCCTGCCTTGCTGCGGCATCTTCCGACTTCTGTCTATCCGCGAGAGCCCCCAGGACCGAAGCACTGTCGAGAAGGCCCGGCGTGGCATTGTGTCGCAACGCCCTTGTGCCCTCCCCTGGCGCGCTTCGCGCGCCTGGTGGGGTGGGTCGGGCGCCGATGCGAGAAGTCCGAGCGGACCTCTGGAAGATTACGACCAGATAATGTGTTGCAATCCGACCCGTTTCCCCGTGATCACATGACGAGGATCTATCCATCACCACCGCAGTGGGAATGACTGTTTCCCATGGTCTCAGGAAGCAGTGAATCAGACAAATGCTTTTCGCATTGTGCTCTCTGGGGCCCAGGGGAATGAATACCTGGTGCTATCAAGCTTCCGAAATAAAAATAATTGAAAGCCGGCTCCAGAAGCGGTGGTAATGGATCAAACCTGGCCTCGAATCCTTTCCCTCCCTCTCCCTCTCCCCCGCCACCCGACGTCGGAAGCTTGCTATCAACGTAGACCCTGCGGACACCTTGGACCCCTTCCCTGGGACCCGATTTTCATCTGGAGTCGTTTTTGTTGACGACCCTGGGGCATGGAAAGGCCCCCGCAGAACACGACAAATGTCAAAACTCGTCCGTGGTTTTCGTCGCGACGCGAGGCGGTCTGGGTCCCCCCCTTCTTGGAAACAGTCTTCCAAAGCGGCCGTGCTGAGCAACTCCCAGCCTCGGATCACGCTTCCTCACCGAGGAAGGCAAGGGATACCGGAAGGGGACCGGGAGGTGATGAGGTGGAGGTACAGAAGGAGAGGGATGGGCGGAGGATGATGATGATGATGATGAGGAGGAGGAAGAGGAGGAGGAGGAGGAGGCACACGCTATTCTGCAGCATGGCCCGAAGAGTATGGGAAGAGTACGAGGGGAGGAGGAGGACGAGGAAGAGGATAGGGGGAGAAGCAGAAGGAAGAGGAGGAGGAGGAAGAGAAGGACGAGGAGGAGGAGGAGGAGGAGGACGAGTAGGAGGAGCAGGAACACACATAACAAGAGGATGAAACAAAACTGGAGGGATGGAGAGAGGACGAGAGGGATGAGATGGACGAGAACGACCAGATGGCAGAGGAGGATGAGGAGAAGGGAGGAGGAGGGAGGACGCATGTACCTCCCCTTCCCTCCCTCCCTTCTCCCTTCTCCCTTCTCCTCCTCCTCCTCCTCCTCCTCCTGCTCCTCCGGCGCTCCTTTCGGGCACCCGCGAAGCGCTCTCGGCGAGGCGCGGCTGCTGGCAAATATCGCAAGGCGAGAAGACCCCTCCGCCCACCCGCTGCGCGCCTGCCGCCGCCGCCGCCGCCGCCGCCGCCGTCGCAGCCATCGTCGTCGTCGTCGTCGTCGTCGTCGTCGTCGTCGTCGTCGTCGTCCCAGTCGCCTCCGAGCCCGCGACCAGCACGTCGCCCTGCCACGCGCCCGCCGGGGCGCTGGCCAGGAGCGTCAGCGCCGAGGCCGAGGGGGCGGGCAGCAGCAGCAGAGCTGGCAAGAGCCCGCGCGCGAGGCTACTCCTCCAGGGAGTGGAGGAACGGGGGTCCTCTTCGTCCTCCGCCTCCTCGTCCTCCTCCTCCCTCCTCCCTCCCTCCTCCTCTCCTCCCTCCTCCCTCCTCCCCTCCTCCCTCCTCCCTCCTCCTCCTCCTCCTCCTCTCCTCCTCCTCCTCCTCCTCCTCCTCCTCCTCCTCTTTCTCCTCCTCCTCCCCCTCCTCCTCCTTACTCTCCTCCCTCTTCTCCCCTTCCTCCTTCCGCTCCTCTTCTCATCTTCCTCCTCCTCCTCCTCCTCCTCCTCCTCCTCCTCATTCTGCTCCCCCCCTCACCAGGAGGAAAAGAAGTCCAGCGAAGAACCCAACCATATGTAAGTGTGAATACCGCAGTCGTGGGTATCGTCTTCCGTGGAGCTCCCCCTGGGGCCACGAAACGCTGTACTGGGCAATCGATCTGCATGCGAGTTGCGCCACTGGGACCTTCGGTGGAATTCCCTTTGGGGCCACGAAGCGCTGTACTGGGTGGGGGGGACGCATGCGGACTGCGCCACTGGGACCTTCGGTGGAGCTCCTTCGGGTGGTGGGGGCGCATGCGAACTGCGCCACTGGAACATTCGGTGGAGCTCCCTCCGGGGCCACAAAACGCTGTACTGGGCGGGGGGACGCATGCGGACTGTGCCACTGGGCCCTTCGGTGGAGCTCCCCTTCTGGGGCCACGAAACGCTGTACTGGGCGAAGGGGACGCATGCGGACTGCGCCACTGGAATTTCGGTAGCGCTCCCTTGTGAGCTACGAAACGCTGTGCTGGGTGGCGGGAAGCATGCGTACTGCGCCTCTGGGACCTTCGGTGGAGCTCCCTCTAAGGCCACGAGACGTCGCAATGTGTGGGGGTGGACGCATGCGGACTGCGCCACTGGGACCTTCGGTGGAGCTCCCTCAGTGGCCACGAACCGTTGTACTAAGCGCTGTACTGGGCGGGGGGGGCGCATGCGACATGCGCCACTGGGACCTTCAGTTGAGCTCCCTCTGGGGCCACGAAGGGCTGTGCTGGGCGTGGAAAAGCATGCGGATTGCGCCACTGGGCCCGTCGGTGGAGCTCCCCCTGGGGCCACGAAGCGCTGTACTGGGCGGGGGGACGCATGCGGACTGCGCCACTGGGACCTTCGGTGGAGCTCCGCCTGTGGCCACGAAGCGCTGTACTGGGCGGGGGGACGCCTGCGGACTGCGCGCTCCCTTGTGAGCTACGAAACGCTGTGCTGGGTGGCGGGAAGCATGCGTACTGCGCCCCTGGGACCTTCGGTGGAGCTCCCTCTGGGGCCACGAAACGCTGTAATGCGTGGGAGAGACGCATGCGGATTGCGCCACTGCTCCCTCTGGGGCCGCGAAACGCTGCGGGACGCATGCGGACTGCGCCACTGGGACCTTCGGTGGAGCTCCCTCGGGGGCCACGGACTGCTGTACTGGGTGGGGGGGACGCCTGCGGATTGCGCCACTGGGACCTTCGGTGGAGCTCCCTCTGGGGCCACGAAGGGCTGTACTGTGTTGGGGGGAACGCATGCGGATTGCGCCACTGGGCCCTTCGGTGGGGATCCTTCAGTGGCCACGAGCCGTTGTACTGAGCGGGGGGGACGCATGCGGACTGCGCCATTGGGACCTTCGGCGGAGCTCCCCATGGGGCCCTTCGGTGGAGCTCCCTCTGGGGCCACGAAACGCTGCAATGGGTGCGAAAGACGCACGCGAACTGCGGAGGATGGAGGAGGGAGAGGAGGAGGGGAGGAGGGGAGGAGGAGGAGAGGAGAGGAAAGGCGAGGAGAGGAGGAGGAACGCAGGGCGCTGTCTCTTCAAAACGAAGACCCAGCACATGAGGATGGTTGGAAAAAAAGGAAGTCAGCATGACGGCAACGGGTCCTGCAGGAGAAGGGCCCTCCTATACCTGCGGCGTGGCGCACCACCAAAAACGACGAGGCGTTCGCTGCTTTCGGCCTCCGGGGGGGCCCTCGCCAAACTTTGGGGCCGTCAGACAATGGCCAGGGACGGCCTCGGAGAAGGGATCTGGCTTGTTCATGAAACCCGTACCGAACAATAATCAACACATCGGACCCCTGGGGGAGCTAAGGATCCTGGAGGCTCGTTCGCCGTTCTCACCCGCTTTCCTCCGCCTCCGACCCGTCGGAGGCATCCGTGGTCTCTTTGAGGCCTGTCGTTGCCGCAGGCGGGCGCAGCCCGAATAAGTGGCCAGGATCGGTATCAGTAGCGAGGGCAAGGACATGCCCACCTTTTTTTTACCATGTCAATATAACCACGATCACGGAACTTATAAAACATGTGTTCGCCACTTATATATGCAAGGTGCCATCTTACCAGTTACTCGCCAGTCTACGGTTATTGGTGCAAGGCGTAAATGGACTAGAACGATCGTAACCTCGAGATACCCATCCATGAATCGATACATCAACACCTCGCACATAAGCTACGAGTACACAACGAGCGCGTCCGATCCTCTATAGCACACGTTATATACGAGTTGCAACGCAGGTATACAATGCTACCAGCGCGCGCTGAGGGAAGAACTTCACACGTCAAACAAACATGGCAGGTCCGCACACGCACGCGCCTGGACAAGTCAGAGGGTCGGCGGACCTTCCTGCGAATAGTCTCGTAGCGACGTAACTCGATGTCTGAACCCATGGCGCGACGCGCGATGAAAGTAAGCGTTCAAGGTATCTTCAAGACACCCTGAACCGCGCATTCAAAAAGCCGGCAGCAAGGAACAAAAAGCTACGCGCAAAGATAAATGAGAGCCCAGGCGGGGTCAGCTGGATTTCGCTTTTGATTATGTTCGAATAACACTTGAGGTGGAGTATTTTTCGCCTGGGCCTCCTCAGTGTCTTGGAAAGACGCACGCGTCCAGCCACACTGAGCATCGCTTATCATACCCCTATCCCCAACGGCGTGGCCTGGGCCCACTGGCCGATTTACCCTTTATCATGGGGATGTGGGCCGTTTCCTTGTGTCTTCGAGGGGTATATCCCCCCCTGGGGTGCTGAGATGGTGGGGGTCTGGATGGGGATGGGGCTGGGGATGGGGGTCGGTCAAACGCTGCAAAACGACTCAGGGCGAAAAGCTGGCCCTAGGAAAGTGGTCCAGACCTCCAGGGGCCACGCATCGAAATACTTGGAACAGCCGGATGTTTGGGTTTCCGTTTGGACCAAACCTTTTGGGTCTCAACTCTGGGATATACGATGGGAGGGCGTCCATACTCGACGGGGGTGCGTCCGAGTAGCCCCCCTGTAAGTGTATATCCGACTGTCCCCTCTTTTCTGAACGACCTGATTTCTCCGCTGGGGCCCGCTTTTGGGAGGCATCTACTAGGAGATCTTCGTAAGACCGGCTACCATCTATTAGGCCCGATGAAGGCAGCATCCAGCAGGATCAGCCTAGATTGAGTCTGGGATTGGGCCAAATTCTGATCAAGCGGGATTGTGTCAGATTGAGCCAATGTTCGCCAACGGATATACCAACGCCGATGCTGAACCAAGCCTTCCGGGAGTGGCGTGCTTGCCGATTCCCTCTTGCCAGCTCCTCGCGCGACAGGGCGCCACCATGTGGAGGTTCGGTCCACCAGCGAAGGAGCCGCGGTGATATGGAAGCAGAATTGAATGGACTGCGCTCTGCGAGGCCGCAGGGCGCCGGGAGCCAACGTGGCTGACGAAGGTGAACAGAAGCGGGGCTGCGGAAGGAGGTTGGGAAGGGAACGAACCTCACACGAGGAAGGGAGCAGGAGGAGGAGGAAGAGGAGGAGGAGGAGGAGGAGGAGAGCAGGAGGAGGAGCTAGGAGGGAGGAGGAGGAAGGAAGGGACGGAGGTTGAGGTTAGGCCCCCCCGAACAAGGGCTTTGATAAACCAAGACGTTGGTGCGCCCGAGAAACCTGCAGCCGTGAGTCGAGACATTCTCCGTTCTGCGTTCTCCCCAGCTCGACTCGTCAAAATACTGGTCAGCAATGCCCTGGCTGACGGGGCCTGAATATATGAATGCTGACTGGCTGGCATGAATGCGGCATGGCATGTCTGACTGGCGGCATGAATGCTGACTTAACGGCTGTCTGGCTGGCATGAATGCGGAATGCTCAGCTGACTGAACGACGTGACTCTGGCCCTGCAAACACCACCATGATATGGTCGAGGTTCCGATGCCTTTTCTAGGCCACGTGATTCACAAACGAAGTGCATTATCCACAGGGCCGTAAGGTCTTGGGAGGTACGGGTGGTCATGGGATTAGAGCTGAAATTCGACCCCGAATGCCCCCTTGCGATCGCACGACCCCAGCAGGCTCTGATGAATGCCGTGGAAGGGCGGGGGAGGCGGGGGGGGGTAATTGATCTGGCTATCCATACTCCCTGACCTGACTTGCCAGGAATGCGTGTTTTTTTTGCAACGGCCAGCGCATGTATGCAATACGTTCGGAGTACCTCTGGAGGTGACCGCGCCAAAGGAGGGTCTGGCTGTGTACTCCAGACCCCAAGACACTGCAGGCGGGGAGTGCGTGAGAACCCTCCAGGCTGCGAGCTAGACGCGAGTCGGCCGCATGTTCGGGTTACCTCGTGAACCTCCGCATCCACGCCCTGATGGCGTACTGTTGTACGTGCCCTGCCCAGCCCGCGGGATCCTTTCCGAACTCGCGCAGCATTCGTATCACACTAGATGTCGAATGTCCGAAACAGAAAACGTTGTCACACGATGTGGCTAATGATGGCAACGAGACGTTGCCCAGGAGGTAAGTCGGATGACGATGATATCGAGGGAAGATTGCAGGTGTGAGGGGCGAGGATGGGGAGACGCACGATCAGGATGACTGACCACATCCAAAAGATGAAGGCGGCCACCGCCTGCCCGTCTGCTCCTACTTTGCCCTGTTCACTCCCGCGCGGACGCTGACACCAGGGCTCGGGCCCGCTCCGCTTGAACTTCGCCCGCCAGTCGGCGTGGCTGCCTGGCTTCGCCCCGCCGTCGAGCCGCGCCCGCTTTTCCAC